TATTCATTACTAAAGGGGGAAGTGATTTGAAATATCATCAGTGTGCACGGTTTTATCGCTAAAAGAGAAATTGATATTGTGATATCGTTAAAAAAAAACACACTAAAATCACCAATGCTTAAACACCTATGTAGTCTCTGCCAGAGACTTGCTCCATGAGCATTTAATTAAAACACAGCTTAAATTTATCCCTATTGAATTTACTTATACATTCTACCTTATACCGCTTCTACTTCTCCCCACCCTGTAAAACACACTGCATCAATTCATATAATATGGAAGAAGAATTCTGAAACATAATTTTCTGTGACTTCTTACTCTGCAAGGCATTTTGTCAGTGTATAATGACACTCAGGCAGCTGTTACATTTAAGTCTATTAACAATTTGTTATTAATAAGTCTCTTGACACTGAATGACTCTAGAAATGAAAGAATTATTATCAACTGAATCCAAATAGTGCCTATAAAAACACTCTATGATAATACTTTAACTCATACCATCATTACAGTATATTAGTTAAATGTGCCCATAAAAATGTCACAGAACAGTAAACTTTGAATGTATATGTTAAGTATAATTTGACATGGTTCCATATTTTAAAATATATATCTCATTATATCTTTGTTCCAAGTCACTTCTCCAACTTTGAGCTACTAACTAAATAAGTGAACATTTATTAGCTACTATCGAGTCCCTTTCAATTAACTTCCTAATCTTACAACTTTAGAGGCACCTAGCTATACATTTTCATTTTGTCATTTTTACATAAGTATCCATCTCCAAGTTGACATTATCATATTAAAATTTATCTTTACAGAGTACCAACTGTGTGCAAGTTGCAGACTTAAATTATTTGGTTATCCTAATCCAACCTGATGAGTTAGGTATTAGACTCACTTTATATAAGACCGAAGATCGTACAAATTAGGAAACTTTCCCAAATAATTTTACTTAGATATGAACTTTGGTACTCTAAATCCTCAGCCTTAACCATGATAATTTATTTCTTAGGGATTGTGACAGAAAAGTTAATCCAAATTTATTTGTTACGAAAATATGCTATAACTATGTCTAAGCTTATTTAGAAAAGTGCTTAAACTGGCATTATCTCAGAGCTAACATATCTGTTTTTGTTTCTAATTTTAGAGGGTGTTATGCTAATTCATAAGGCTATCATAGTAACTTTTCCCCAATACTATGATAGACACATATATGAATAGATGAAGAAATTATTCATATTACTTGTCATACTATGCATATTATTTAGTCTAACATATTATAATTTAAATCTTAAGAAATTATAGTAGAGCCCCAATATTTAAAAGTTAAGGATATAAACAATTAACTTTAAAACACCATTTCAATAAATTCTGCTCATTTTTTTCCCCCTTTGGAATCTTATTTACTTAGTTCAGTTCAATATACTCCATAAGTTATTCAATCTTCAAAAATATACTTAATTCTTATATGACTGAATTAAGTCAAGTTCTCTATTCCTCATGCAGACTATTCATCTTTAGTCTTTATGTTATATTTAATATTTATAATTTAAAGTTATTACTTTGAAATTATATACATTTTTTTTTACCATGCTTCAAATAGCAGTGTTTAGATGTTTCATTGCAGGTTTTGGCAATTCCCTCTCTTAGGTTAGGGGAGGGGCGCTTATGTTCTTGAATTAGAAGTCAATAAAGACATGTAATTGGTGAATGTCAAAAAAAAAAGATTTATATGATGTCATAGTCTTCTAAAATTTTTGAAATGCGAGGTGACTGGGAAAGAGGGACATATATTCTATTTTATTGCTCTACTGTTCTAAGGGACAGTGGCCTGGCCAAACTACCTCTGACTCAGATTGAATGCCAGAAAGCAGGCCTGAATGCTGAACATTTTTATTTTCAAAAAATGATTATAAAGTTGCATTCTTCCATTCTATTTACATTTTATTGCACAACAGTTAGTTGTGATAATTCTGAATTATGAAGGAGTTTAGTTAACATAGTCTAACTAGGCAGTTGTGTGCCCAGCTGAAATTGTTAGTACTCTATTATTGCAAGAAAGAAAAGGAGAAGAAATATTGGAATAGGTAATAATTAAAGAAAACTACATATAAATCTCTGAGATTTTTTAATGTTAATATCTAAGTAATATGATTAATGCTAAAATAAACATATTGAGTATACTAATTATTCTACAGATTTGATAATATCTAAAGATAGATTCCTGCAAACGTTAATTCTGGGTTAAACTGTATGACAAAAAAAAAACAAGTACTTAAACATATTTTGCAAAATTAATACTTGTTTATAGTTGAGCGTAATTTATATTTGAAAACTATGATCTATTCCAGGGTATATTTGTAATAAAATTCTTTACAAATAAGAAAGATCCTTTTAAAAATGAACATTATTTTAATTTTTAATTGTTACATATTTCAAAGTCAAAGGGCCAATTTTGTTTATTCTTTGTAATTCTCATGTACATTCCCATTTTCTGTAGAATTTTATGTTTCTTACTGAAATATATAATTTTATATAAATAATGGATATTAATACTTCAATACTTATGTGTTTTAAAAATTTTCCTAGTTTGAACACTGTTTCTTAATTATTTATTCATTAATGCATTGCTTTTCTGTGATGCTTTAGAATTTTAAAAGCCTTACGTTTCCAATTTTCTAATCCATCAATAATATACATTGATAATCTTAGTTATGTTCCATTTAGCCAAATATTTATTCCCATTTCAACATGTGTAGCACATTCATCTATATTATCATTTTGCTTTTTTCCCTAAAAAGTATTTTTTGTTATAGAGCGTACTACGGATGCATGAAAAGATAAAAACAAAAATCCTGTCATTCCAATTTTATTTTATTTTTGTGTGTGTGATGTGAAACCTAGTCTATTCTTTTTAAACATTATGCTTATTGAGATAACATTGGATTACAGCACTGAACATTTTAGGGGTAAAGATTCATATCTCTACAAAAGGATGTTATACCACATCTACCACCAAAGCACCAATAATTCTCCACTATAGGCCTTGGGGCCTCTCTCTTTACATTCCACATCTTAATCTACCCCTCTAGCTACCTCAGTTTTACAATCAGATTTCATTTTTTTTGGTCTGTTTTGTCTATTCCTTTGATTTGTTTCTTTATATTCCACATGAGTAAAATCATTTGGCATTTGTCTTTCTCCCTCTCGTTATTTTGTTAGCATAATCTCCCACAGTTCCATTTATAATGTTGCAAGAAAAACAAAGCAAAAGCAAACAAATGGGACTATATTAAACTAGAAAGCTTTTGCACAGTGAGAGGAACTATCATTAAAACAAAAACACTGTACTGAATGGGAAGAAATATTTGCATATCATATGTCAGAGGAGGAGCTAATGTATAATTCTACAAATAACTTACATAAATTAACCAGAAAATAACCCAATGGAAAACTGGGCAGACAAGCTAAATCAACTTCTCCAAAGAAGACATACAGATGACCAACAGGCAAATGAAAAAGTCCTTATCATCACTTACCTTCAGGGAAATGCAAATCAAAACCATAATGAGATACACCTCACATCTGTGAGAAAGGCTCATATCAACAAGTGTTGGCAAGGGTTTGGATAAAAAGGAACCCTAAACAATGTAATATAGCACATCCTTTTTGGAAAACTGTATTCTTCTAGGTACCTACCTGAAGAATACAAAAGCACTAATTTTAAGATGTATACTCAGTATTATATTAATTATAGCACAATTTACAATAGTCAAGCTATGGAAAAAATCCATATGCCAAAAGAAGATGAGTGGATAAAGATGTGTTATGTATGCACTATGGAATTTTACTCAGCTATAAAAATTTTATTCCAGCTTTGAAAGAGTGCATGCAGTTGTCACTTCATGCCATCTAGGAAAATGAGCTGTTTAATTTCCCTGAGTTTTTCCCCCTACAGATGCATTGAAAGTAGGTTTTATAAGGTTCTTAATAAATTATGTATTATATTACTTCAGTCAATGTTGCAATTGTGCAACTACCATATTATAAAGGTATCTTTACATTACCTTTGAGATTTGGATTAAATAACTTGCTGAAATGGAACTAATTGACTGAGTTATTTTTATAAAACCCTGTAATGATTGGGTTTATGTAGAGATTTAATGATTTATGCACTGCATTAAATGTTCATAAATCAAAGAAAAACTATTTTTCATATGATATAATCACTAACTGCCAGAATTATATACTTTTCCAATTATAACAGGTCCTCAAAGAATGTTTTGTTCAATGTTGTTTCATTACAACATTGATGAGAACAAACAATCTTGGCTGAAGTTGAACAAAATGACTTTTCTCAAGTATCTGCTTTAATTATATGCTATTTCACTTAAAGTAGCAGTTTCCAAGAACCTATCAGCTGAAGTTACTGTTCTTATTGTGTTTCATTCTCTCAGTGTTGATGGTCAGGTTTCATCAAAGTGACCTCTGTATAGTATATGGTAACCTGAAACTTTTCAGAGGAGAGAAGATAAAATGTTTGACTGTCAAAAGCTTACTTGATAGTGACCTTTGAATCTTATACTCATATAGCCAGGCTCTTCATTTAAGTAATGAATAGTTTTATTACATGCTGAAATGTGTATATTCACATAGCTAGGAGGATTTTTGCATTTATATATTAGACTTTATTCTTTTAATTCTTATTTGAATTTAAATTAGTGACCAATAATTGCTGACTGAACTTATCTTTTTAGGGAGCTACTATTGACATAGCTTATATGAGTTTTAATAAGCAAGATAACATAACTTTAACTTGAAGAGCTAATATCTAATAAAAATGTCTAATGGGAGGGGTGTTAAATTGCTTTGATTCACATAAAAATCTAAGGATTTGAAATTTATCATACTTTGAAGTCTAACTAAAAGTTATATAAATCCAATACTGGTGTCTTAGTGTAGGCTGCTATAACAAAATACCATAGACTGGGAGGCTGAAACAACAGACATTTATTTCAAGAAGTTTTGGATAGAAACTTGAATTTAGGGTATCAGTATGACCAGATTGTGGTAAGCATTCCCATTCTCTTCCTAGTTTGCAGATGCATTCTGTTCCTCATTTGCAAATGATTGCGTTCTTGCTGTATCTCTACATGAGTGGAAGGGAGAGGAAGAGAGAACTATAAAAGGGCATTAATTCCATCAAGACGACTCACCCTCTTGAGTCATCAAAATCTACCTTCCAAAGACCCCACATTGGGCATAGGACTTCAGTGTATGCATATTGAGTGGATGCAAACATTGAATACATAACTATAAGAAATCGTACTCAAAGAATAGTTCTTCCACAGATGATATAAATAAACTGTCGTGGATAAAAATGTAAATAGTACTTGTCCCTGTAAAATGCACTAACAGTACTGGAGGGCTTATATAAAACCATAGAAGCATCTTTATTACTGTTTAAGTGATTTACAGCCTTGTGATATAACCACTATTGCTTCAGTAAACAAAAGAAAGCAATTACAAATTCTATTATTAAAATAATAACATTAGTTTGGTATAGAATTAAACAAAAAAAAATCACATTTGTTCATGACTTAAAAGTAACATTATACACAGTATGAAGTAACTTGAAACCAATATGGAGTCAAATACAATAAAATTAAATAACTTAATTTTTCTTGATGTATTCCAAGAGTTATATTTTACTAAATTTAAAATTCAATTAGTTCCCCCAGGAGCTTTTCAGATAGTAACTTCTTATATACTCTTATTTCAGATAGAAATGGAAGTGTGAACTATCCACTTGTTTAATGAACGTATATAATTTGATGAATGCCTCCTATTTGGCACACACTAGTCCACTATTTGCCTGGAATTTTTGTTCTTCCCTTTTCTTCCTCCAAGAATGACTGAAGGTTTAATAAATATGTAATAATATATAAATTCTCAGGTGCATTTTTTGATCAATTTTTTTAAAAAGTTGAAATTAATGTAGATTTGATATGACATAGCTCAGTTGGTAATGTTTCTTAATATTTTCCTAAGCATCTCATAAAGTGTCCTCTCAATATGATACAATGTTGTATAACAAAGCTCTAAGATCAAGCATTTAGCTGATGATATATATATAGTAAAGGCTGGCTCTTACTTCCTATACCATGCTAGCTACTCACACACAGCTGAACAAAACCCAAAACAATAGAGCAAAAACTCCTTTGTACTAAGAGACTTATAATCTATGTGACAGCCTAGGTAAAAGTAATTGTGAGCTAGTAGGATAAGTTGTTCCATATCCTGTCTGAAGAAGTGGACTAAATCATGGACTGGTGAAGCCTGTCCAAACAATTTGGTCCCTTACACCACCATGAAGCATTAGAGCTTGACTAATGATTATCTTTCCCTAGAGAGCAATAAACCCACTCTTCTGGGTTGGAATTTTTTTTTTTAAAGATTTATTTATTTATGCATACAAGAGCTGGGGTACAGGCCAGAGGTGGGGTGGGGTGGTGAGAGGATTCATACATGTGCATAACTTCAAAAAATATTATATATCGTTTTTGCATTTGCAGAGCCTAACACTATTTTCTGTCATGATGAAATCCTGTACTCCTAACCCCATAAACATATGAAACCCAGATTATAAAAGGGTGGAATAAAAAATAAATATCATTGCTAATATTTAAACATGTTGTTTTATATGGAAGGTTTCTAATAATGTAAAAGGACGAGGGAATTTAAGCTTATAAGGTTGAAATTCATTTAGATTAAATCAAAAGGGTTACATACAGTATATAAATTATACATCCGTGTAAAGAAATTATTTGGAGTAGTTTACATAAAAGAGAAATGGAAAGTTAAAGAGAATGCCTCTACCATGAGGTGCTGTTCTTTAATTTGAAAGACATCTATGCATCTAAATCCTTAAGCCCCCAAATTAGGTATCAAGTTGATAAAAAGAAATGGCTTACAGGACCTAGATTGAAATCCTGGTTCTGACAAATTGTGAGTTGTAGTTAACATATCAAATCTCTGATCATCAGTATTCTCTGTAAACTGAGGAAAATGATAATTGTTTTACCTTACCTCATAGAAGTGTTGCAAAGATAATTGAGACCTGGTAGGTAAAATTATCAGGAACATTGCACAGAGTGATCACATAATAGATGGCATCTATCATAATTAGAACCATGGAAGATACATTTCTAAGCAGCATGATACTGAACTCAAAGTATTAGTGCATCTGTTAGCTCATGGTATTTAACAATCATCCCAAACTTTAAGTAGCTGAAGAGATCAGATTTTTATTTTACTATTTCCAAAGGTCAGGAATCTTGGAGTAGTTGATGTGATTGTTTGCAGCTCAAGGTCACTAGTGAGACTCAATCTATCAGCTGGGGCAACATCCACCTCAAGACTGACTAAGGCTAGAGTATCAGCTTCTGGGTCAATAGTTGGCTGTTAAGAATCCTCAGTTTTGTACTTGTGAAGTTCTCCATAGAACTGCTCTTCAAGTTGCAGTTGACTTCCCTCAGAGTGACTTTTCTGAGAGAAATGAACTGAAATAGGATCTGTAATATATTTTATAGCTTAATCTTGGAAGAGACAAACCAACACTTCTGGTATATTCTACTGATCAAATGACCAATATTGGTATAGTTTGAGAGGTAGCTGTACAAGGTGTGATGGCAAGAGAGAGGAATCACTGAGGTCATAGAGGCTAGACACCACAGGTAAGTGATAAGATACTTTCATGAATTAAGTCTGCCAGAAATATTAACAGACACAGGGGGCGAAACAAGAAGAATCGGATTGATTTACACAGGTAGTAAGAAAAGGAAAGTAAGGAGAGATTGAGGAGGGAAGGAACAGTGATTACCTATTTTTTCTTCCTTTTGCTTAATGTATTTGCTGTTAGTCATGGTGAGGCATGAACATGTAAATCAGGGAAAAGTTTCATTTTTTTTGAGACATTAAAGTGGCATTAAAGTTGGAAATAATCTGATTGGCAAATCCATATTAATGAAGATCACACACCTGTCATGATCAGGGATTTAACTACTGGTTCAAAATTGATGTTGCTTAATGAACCAATGATCCTGACAGTTTTTCAAGTTTTGAAAAAAAGATTTTTTTGATACTGAAATACATTATATTAATAAAGATTGTTGAGATGAGCATACTGATTTAACTATAGAAATATTTTTAACTCAGCATCACAAACAAATTTGACAATTTTTTCCACAATTATTATAGTTTTAAGTTTCATCAATGGAAGGGTAAGACTGAACTTTTCCATGAGCAAAGGGATGTTTATGATAATTTAGTCACATTGTTATATGTAGCAGCAGTAGAGAATTTGACTAAATTTTCAACTATGGCTGCCTAATGTGATCATTCCATACTCAAAATTTTTAAATTGTAGGATGTTATAATTTTTTCATAAGGCAAATTGGGTTTTTGATTCATTTGATCTGATCTGTAATCTCTGATCATGAATGTTCTACTGCAACTTATAAAAGGAAATATTTATACAAGTAACAGAAGCAAATGTCAGCATTCCCACTATTCAGTATTTTAGTGCATAAATCACTTAAAAGGTGGAGAGGGGGTGGATAAGTTTGCTTATGTCATATGAGTGGCTGTTTTATTGATATAAGTATGTATAAAAAAACATTTTACTATGGTTATGTGGAAACATCATCTCCTTAAAACTAGGAAAAAAATAGAGTTTTTCAAATGTGGAAATGTAAGATGGTAGACCAAATGTCTGTTGTGACTTTTCTGGGTAGTGGATACATTTTAAAATTTGGCATCAAAAAGATATTCATTTGAGCCTTATCTGTGAGTGTGTATTTTTACTAAACTGAACTGAATTTGATTTTGAGGATGTGGTATTACACATTGGCTAAGAACCTACGCACTATAGTTACATTTCAGGTGTCAGAGCTTACCTAGTTTCATCACACCCTTCTTATTAAGTCACTGAATATCTCAGTGTCAGTTTTCTATCTGCAACATGAAATGATAAAAGCATAATAGGTATATCTAATTTGTAGACTCAAGGAGGTCATGAGAGAATACATATAAAGTGTGTAAAACAGTACTTGTTACATAGGAACTTCTCCTTAGTCTCTTTCATTATTGTTGTCTCTATCATTACACTTGTTTTTTAATCAATAGAAGCTAATTGTTATTAAACATGCATGCCAAACTTGTTTGAAGAGTAGGAATGATACTGTTTTCCTCTTTAGATGCAAATTGTAAAAGTAAAAGGGGAAACATACCTACAAAGTAGTTGTACTTACAGTGATCCAAATACAAGCAATGCCTGAAGCTGGTGAGGCTGGAGAAGAAAATGTATTTTTTTTTTTATTTTATATGATTTCACAATATAGGATTTCTCCCCCCATGTGTGATCACCATAGTTTTCCCATCACCAAAGTGCCACACTCCATGTTGCTCTCTAAGCCCCTTCTCTATACTTCCTCCTCATCATTTCCTCACCCCTCCCTCCTGAGTGTCTCAGATGTTGGTTTGTTTTCGAGGGTCAGCTTTGCAGTTTGCCTTTTCTGATCCTTCGTTTGGCTTCTCCAGATTCCACATATAAGTAAAACCATCCGGTGTTTATCTTTTTCCTTCTGGCTCACTTCGCTTAGTAGAAAAACAACAATGTAGTCTTTATGAGACATTCAGCACCAGCTTTGATGCTGATAAAGAACTCACTTAGAAAATCATACCTAAATCTCTGGAAAGTTTAAAAGATACAAATTATAGCTTAAAAATTCATAATGCCTAAAAGTAGCTTTTGTAATAAAAATAAGATCTCCTCTGGCATTGCCATCTGTATTTTTAAATTCATGAGGGTCTTTTTTCTAGATAGAAAGAAGAAAAGCCTAATGCAATAGTCCCATATATAAACCTTTTGAATATTATAGTTGTTTAAAAATTAGATTAATGATGACTGAAAAATCTTAGTTAACTGCAAATATCTAAATGTATCAATTGTGATACTATAATGTAAAAGAAATGAGATCTTATTTATTGAACTATGTAGTAAACAACCACCTCACCAAAGAATACAAAAAATAAAGTTGAAAACTGAATTACTTGTTTTTCTGCAAATATTAAAATAAATTTTAGAAATATATATTTAGGTAATGTATTTAGGACATTGATTTTTACTAGAGATCCGTAATATGTTCTCAAATTGTTAGGGGGAAAGGATGTCCCGAGCTAATCCCATACAGACTTTGTGGACTCCACCCCCACTCCAGACCAAAGCATTCAGGACATTGGGAAAGACAAATCCCATCACCACCAAAGGGAAGGTTGCTGGGTCCTGAGGGTGGAGTTAAGCAGCCAGGTCGGGTATAAAACCAGATATGTGGGCCTTGGGGGGCGCTTTTTGGCTTCACGGCTTGTGGCTCGTGGCCAGCTCTCAGAGTGCCATTGGGTTTCCAGGTCAGCAGAACAGGTAGGACGCATTTAAGACTTTATCTCCCTTTTTTCTCCCTGAGTTGTACATTTCCTCATTTCCCCTTCCCTTGTAAATAAGCCTTTTATTAACCTTTTGGGTGTGTCTGCAGTGGAGTATTAATAAGTCCCCTTTAAATGCACGGGTGAGGACCCACAGCCAGGCAACCCGTTTTATATGGGGGCTGCCCTGTAACAAAATCTGTAATAACCATTTCCTCTTGGCCTTTTGGCTGAGATCAAGTGATATGTGTTGTCTCTCGGGACTATAGCCTGCAAAGGAAAAGAAATAGACTGTTATCTAATAAGCCTTTAGCATCTTTTAACTAAGATGATGGAAACCAATATTATACTAAGTGTTGGATTATTTATGAATAATCTATTGCTCAGTAAAGATGTTCAAAGCATTAGCTACAATAAATCTTCATTTCCATCTATGTGAGACAGTAATCACACTGTATTTTTTTATCCTTTAATTCCTTCTCATTTTGATACTTGATTTGGTAACAAAAATCAGCTAAGTATAAACTTCAAATTATAAATCCTATTGGTTTGGAAGTATTTCATTGTCTTTCCTTTCTGCTATCAACATATTAATGGAACACCTATTGCATTAACTCTAGCATATTTTACAGGCTTCTTAGTAAAGAGATAACTATACACTAAACAGGCTACACACTGAATAGATACATCTGGAGAGAGAGAGAGAGTCAGTACCAACAGAGTCCCAGAGAACAGACTACTGAATTTCTTTATTCTATCCATTTTGGTTTTGCAATCATCCAACTATCAGCACTCAGGTGCAACCAGTTCAGATATATTCCTCTTCATGCATACTTCTAATTTCTTACCCATTACTTACCCATGCTTTGCTAAGAGAAATCAGATGTTATTAGGGACATAAGGATTCAAAAAATGAAGTACAGTTGCTATCCTTTTTTTGCTGTAAAGTTACCATTTGACACTGACACTGTCTTCCTCATCAATGTGTTGTAATCTGAAGTTGTTTACTGGGGATTTTGCAAGAAACACTTTAAAAAAAGAATTCACGTGACCAGCACTGACTATCGACTACTCACGTTTCTGCTTCTTTTTACTGGAAATAAAGCTGCCATGTTTGTGGCTATCTCATGTGATTACATGGCTTTCCCTGAAAATGGCAAAAATGGCAGTGCAGAAGTCAATGGAGATTTGTTGTTGGAATCTTGGAGATGTCACAAGGCCTGGGCTCTCTCCAGACTTATTATTGTGAAAGAATCCTTGATAATGTTGTTTAAATCACTGTGTTTTAGGAACCATTATTCACAGTAAAATATAAATATGAGTCTTAATTTCATATATTCCTAAGAGATTTATGTTTTAGAAAGTACTTGGGAAGAACAAGGCATTTTAATAACTAAATAACTTAATCTAAATTCCTAAGCATATTGCATATGCAAATACTTTATACAATTCATTTTATGCATCTTTTTGTTAAGCCATATCAACATTGAGGAAAATAAGCATATCTATGTATATATATATATTCTTAAATGTTTGTATGTTTCATAAAGCTCATGGATAATAAGGAACAAATTATGACCTGGAGCTAGAAGCACAAATTTCTTATTTATTTCCTTATGTTGCCTTCAATCTTGAAAATATTTAGAATTTCAAAACTTTATACATACCTATATTTTATAGTATTTTTTGTGACTTGTCTGATAATATCAGTTTTCCTGAAATATTCTAAAACTTACAATCAAGATTTAGTTGCAAATACTTTTTTGTGTACCACAGTTGCATTTCCTGAGAATAGTATTCATATTCTCCTAGAATAAATACATGTGTGATATTCCATTTATAATACTTATAGATTATATACTATATAATGTTAAATTAAAATTAAATTAGTAATTTACATAGTATATTATTTCCTATTTGTTTTACATATATTATTACTATATGAGTAGCTTATTTAATAATTTTAAAATAAATGATTTTTATGAATCCTTATATTTAATTTATAATAATAATTTGTGTTTGGCATATTTTTTTCATTAAGTTTATATGCCTTATTTATAAACTCCAATTTCTTTGGCTGATTTACCCTGAGAATTTACTACTATACCTGAATAATAAAAATTTACATTATTGGTTATTTGCATTAAAAAATGAAGTTATCTTCATGTAATTTTTCTCCTTAAAGCAGTATATTGAGTAGCATAGCTGGGTGAATAAAATCAATATTTTTTGCAATTTCTGGAAAATTAACAAGGCTTAAAAATCCATGTGGAGATTGGTATTACCATTAATATATAAAAGTAGGGCAATATTTATTGACCATGTCCTTGCAGAGTTCATATATAAATGATTTTGTAATCCTCTTTCCTGTCACCAAAGCCCTGATGCTTTATTTCATATTTATAACACAACAAATTGTTATTCTTGAAATTAAGTTCTCATATATGGTGCAGGTATTAAAGTAAATTGTAGGTTGTATGAAAGATATTACTCTCAATGTATAGCAAGTAAATCCTATTTAATCAAACATCTCTAATGAAATAGCTCATTGAACTGAGGGGCACAGGACCCCATGACCCAAATGATAAAAGCTGGCAGTGCCAGTAATTTCCACCATTGATAAGAGCTTTTCCTCAGCTCCCTTGGAGGTAGAAAACACTGCTGTCACTGCATTTATCATGCTTTTCTACAAGCTAGAACCTTTCCAGTGCTCAGCACTGCTTGCTTTTACTCTCAGCCTTTGGTGATCAAGCTGATATTTATTTCCTTTCAGGCTTTTATAGTAGTGACCTATGAAACTTTGATACAGTACATCATAAATAAAAGTTAATAAGTGTTTGTCACTTTTAAACTGTATTTCTGCAAAACTGCACAATGTTTCTCATGGGGTAGTGAAATGACATGCAATACTTTGGAGGCTCTCTTAGATGACTTGGGATCTGGTCCCAATTCACCTTTTATAAAATCCTCACTTGGAATTTCAGTGGGAAACCTAATATATCAATAGTATGTAGACATGCTGACCAATGATGCACACCTAAAACAGGATGTGATAATGCACCATTTCCAATTAAAAAAAAAATTATATAACCCTCACTAATTGTTTTAAAGAAATAGCTTAAGTGACAAATAAGGATGATTGTCATTTTGTTTTTTTTTTGTTTTTTTTTTAATAGAGGCATGTTTTATTTATTTGTTTTGTTTGTTTGTTTATACATGCACTGGGTACAGTCAGAATTGCGGGAGGGTGAGAGAATTCACCAGAGCCAGAGCGGGGAGCAGAGCAGGCAGAAGGACCGAGGTACACTGCTGAGGGGAGCAGCAGGCGGCAGGAGAGGTCTGTGCGCCATGTGGGACCCTCCTCCGGTGGCCGAGGAGCAGCCGGGGATCGAACCGGCGCCGCAGAGGCCGCGGGCAGCTTCGCAACCCAGCGCTCAACCGCTGCGCCACCGGGGAGGCCCGATGATTGTCATTTTGAAGTCACCTTCAGCATCCATGATCTTTCCTTTAATTCATGACTATTTGAAAGCTCAAACATTATATTACCATCATCATTGTTTACCTTACCTTTCAGTCAGAATTAATATTACTCCTGTTGTTTTTCCTATAAACTCACACAATATTATAATATAAATTTCTTTGTTACACTGACTTCTGAGTCTTTTTTTTTTAAAGATTTATTTATTTATACAAGAACCAGTTATAGGCCAGATGCATGGGAGGGTGAGAAGATTCACCAGAGACAGACTGGGGAGCAGAACAGGCAGATTGACAGAAATACACTGCTGAGGGGAGCCGCGGGTGAGATAGGAGAGGTCTGCTGCACCATGTGGGTATCTTGGCAGCTGGCTGGGATTGAATCTGCACTCTGCAGAGGCTGCAGACAGCCTCACAGTGCTGCACTCAACTGCCTGCACCACCAGGGAGGCTCTTACTTGTGAATCTTCTGAGCTGAGTAAGCTTATTGGACATTTTATATTCTCCTACTCCCATCCCCTTATACCTAGTGCAGTGGTATAAGTAGTATACAGTAGATGCTCCTTACAGAGATGTTGATTCAGTTACTAAAATCATCTTGCTACAGGGCAGGGAAAGGTGTACCCCAGAACCCCCAAACCTGCCTGCTCTAAATAGGTTCTGTTATCAGCCACATCAAGACAAAACATATAAGATCTTTAATGGACAGGAACTTCAGTACAATGAGTAAACAATACAGAAAAGACAAAGAATTTAGTTTCTAAATCAAGCACCCAAAGTTACCCACCCCCCATGGGTAAAAGTCCACCCAAACGGGATTGGCCCAGAGCAAAGGGGATCGGCCCCAAAGCCTGCCACAGGTCTAAAGTACCTTCCAGTGGGGACCCATAGAAAAGGGTCAGAAACAGCCAGACAAGTTTGGAAGGAAAAGAGCAAAATCAAAATCAAGATAAAAGCTGCCATTGTCTCTCACCCATGTCTGTTGCAGCCAGTCCAGGACCAAAAGGCAAGCATAGATTCTTCACGTGTCTCTCTGCTCCATGTGCCTCCTCCAGGTCTCCTTCTGGCTCCCCATCCTACCTCCTTCCTTCTCAGTCTCTACTCCAGCTTCTTCTCCTCCCTGCTCAGCTTCACCCTCCTTTGGGTGGGGCAGGGAACCTGGAACTTCACCTTTCCTGGACACCACCCTGTTACAATCTCCTAAATTAGAAATAGGTTGACCATACTAAACAATACCTTAGTACTTTGGATTTCCCTTTTATTTTGTTAGTCTTCAAAAAGCACACCTTAAATGCCAACAAATAATGTTTTAAGAATCACTCCATAAACAAATGCCAAATAGGTTGTTCTGTAACAAAGCAGCAAGGGATCTCACTATTAAGATAAAGAGAAATAAATATTCAGCATAAAATATCAGGGCAGTAAAATGAAAGAGCAAAACTGGACACTAGATTTCAATTATGGTTCTGACGTGGTTATCTTTGTAGCTTGTCACGTCACTTCTCTGCCTTGGTTTGTATATTTTCTTTGGTAAAATTAGGATGACTGATGAGTTTATATGCCAAAATCTTGCCCAGTCTTATTTGATAATTTTAGTTATGAATAAAAGGAAACCAAAGCTCTTAAATTTTAAAACTTGATATGTGAAGACAGTTAGAGCAACAAAAATCTTCAGTACTGGGGAAATTCAATAAAATGACCACACTTCTTAGCTTTTTATTTTCATTTAATTTTACTGTTGCTTATGACCTAAATTTTTACCTGACTCAAAATCCCACGTAATATGGGTAGTTACAGTGAGTGCTTATCCAACATATTCCTTCCACAGATTTTCTCATCCTTTCATCTATATGTTCAATTTGAGCCAATAGGAAAACAACCCTATTATATATTACAAACTCCAACCTCTGAATTGATGCAGCTGAAATCTTCTGTTACTGAAGGAGCCAGTGTCATTGAGGCAAAGCCTGATAGTGTGTGTGCATTCTGTTACAGGATTATTGTCTCCGTTATATTCATTCAGTTTTTTTTTCCTATTAAATGACTTCCATATTAGTTTTAGTAGTGCTATGAATTAATGGAAAGACTAATATACAAACTGGAATAAATCAAGCAATTTTTCCCTATATAGAGAATGAAGTCTACTCTGTTGTGTTACATAATGGAAAAATCAGCAACATAGAAATGGAAACTTCCCAGATCCCCCAAAACATCACCCAGTGCATTATAACTACAAGAGGCTATGTCTAGGTGAATAAAAGTGTCAAATAAAATATTTAGCATAAAGTGTTATATCCTATGATTGAGATTAATGTGCTCATGAATACACACACTATAAGACTGAATAAGTTTTCATATAGCTAGCCTGGATACACCTATTCACTGTTTCCCACCCCCCCTCCATTATTCAAACAAAACTGAAACTGTGACTTCATTCTTTGATTACTACACTGGATTCAGAGCAGTGATTCTGAGGTAGAAATCTATTCCAACTCCCCTCCCCGCCCCCAATAAAAACCCTCAGTAATCCCTGACTTTCATAAAATTGATTCAAAGTGTGTTTCTAGTACAAAAATTCTTGATCAACAAGTCCACAAATGCAGACTTCTAACTAAATGCTCATCATTCCAGCATCTCTGTAACCATTGAATGTTATTTGTTATTCTGAAAATATGATAGTTCTTCATGTGACTTTGACAATTGTTTGA